CAAACTCGTCCTTCATTTTCCTAGCATTTTCTTGTTGGCTGTGCTGAACAACAGATGGTCTTTGGGGTAGTTGTTGGTGTCGTACTGACCGGCGTTGCGTCTCATGTCGGCGTACACGTCCTCAGTCAGTCTGTATCTCCAGCACAAGGCAGTTGGTGTCGGTGTAGAGGAACTCTGCTGACGAACCGTACTGCACCTCGAGATGGTAGTAGTACCAGTCGTACGTCAGATGCTTCGAGACGTCGAGAACGCTCGTGGCCACAAAGACCGGCCAGTTGAGCAGCGGACTGCTTTTATTCATGTGAACGGCTGCGAGGTCTCCCGCGTGGTCAAATATGAGATGCCGATTAAATGCCAGCTTGGCAATAGGTTTGCGGAGTCTCTCGGTCTCGCTTGGCTGGAGCAGCTTCACATTGACACGCTTTCGGAGGTTTTCCATCGTCTTGCCAAAGACGCTGTTGTTCAGCAGCTTGTAGAGGTTGACTTCAAAGTCACTCTTTGCCTTCTTCAGGAGTTCGGTGTTTTTCCGGATGTAGGGCTCCATCCATGGGTTTTGATCGAAGCGGATTTTGCCATGTGGATCTTTTTCAGGCGCATGCCAAGCTGCAGATAGAGCTGCAGATTTCGATAGTGAAGGATGTATTGGGTCTTGTCGCGCAGATGGGGGACAAGCTTATTGACCTCGTGACACGCACCACCATACATCTGTTAGAGATTTGAGATTTTGCTTGTAATCCGACATCCACGCGTTGTCGACCTTCATGCGTTCTGACGCTAACGGATATGCATTGTGCTCGTAAAAATCTCTTCTGGTTACTCCAGATCGACTTCGAGAATGTAGTCCTTCTCTGCATGTACATGCTGGTTCAAGGCCGCCTTCGTATCCTCTTGAGCGACTCAATAGAACATGCCTGTCGGCAGAGGCTGCGATATCACCCAGCCCTACAGGTTGTTGGCGTCGCAGTACTGGATCCAGCTTTAGGGCTTCCCCGGATCGTAGTCTGGCACTTTGGGATTGTTGGCCTTGGCAAGGCGTCTGCTGTCCATACTGATGCCGCCGTGCAGGCCCTTGTGATGTCGATGTTGGTGAGCAGCTCGATTTCAATCCCCTGTGTGGTTAAGAAGAGCGTCCCAGCTTAGGCCTGGGCTCGTGTAATAGTGGGCGGGTCTAGCCGGTATCGCTCGAGGCACATCTTTCGGAAGTTCTCGAATACGTCAGCAAGGAGGAGGACATCGGTCCGAAGGTAGAGGTCGTGGTAGTCGCCGAGGCTTATACAGCCGAAGACGTACCAGACCATTTTCCTGAATCATAGTCGTCATCGGTAATGCCATCTTCGGCGAGTTTGCTGTAGAAAGCCTCCTTCGGCTGGAGGGATTCTTCATCAAATCTGGACCAGCCGCCCATATACTCGTAGGGGTAAATCACCTTGCGGAGCAGGAGAGTACGCCTCTTGGGGTTGGGCTCAAAGTCTTCTGTGATGCACATGTCTCGCGGATCGCTTGCTTTCACCAGTCCATCCAGGCTTGAGAGCACGAACGGGGCGCTGTCGATAAATCGGAGCTGGCTGATACTGAACGAGATGTAATTCTCGGCGTTCTTAGGGATGCAGGTGACCTTCCCTTTAATCTCTGCGAGAGTCTGCATGTTGAGATGGCTGTCGTAGCCCAGCAGGCTGTGAAAAACAACCGGTATGGTTTTCGTTTTCGGGCTGAGCCGCAACTTCAGGTTGCACTCATTGTGGCAGTGGTCTCGCATGGAATCGCCTTCGAGGGTTTTGCTGGACACGTGGCAATTTCTGACTTTCTTGTGGCTCCCACAGTCATTTCCTATCATGTGCATAGGCTCGGGGCTAGCTAACATCGTCTGATCTTACGCTCTTCTTCTTGGAGCACTTCCAGGAAATGCTTGGCCGCGTCGGGCTCTCGGTAGAGCTGCGGCGGCTGCGTTTCCCTGTCGGAACGAACGACTATGTACGAGTAGCCGCATGCCTCGTGCCTGGAGGTTTGCTGGGTACCGTTCTTTTTAGGGTGAAGCGCGTGGCCCTTGGTCTTACGAACCAGGCTCTCGAAGTCTGCGCAGATTATGAAGGGCGCTTTGAGCTGCTTGTGGTAGTTCTCAAAGCGGATTTTGTCGTTTTTTTTAGGGGTTGGCATTCTGATGGCAACCGCGGCCTGGTTGATGCCTCGACATTCAGGCTTACGCTCTTCCAGCCAATCCTGTCTGGTGAAGCCATGAAGGCAACCCTCACAGAAGTGCAGCTGATGATGGCCACTTTGGTTGAGAAGGCGGTTGAAATCCTTGATCCAAGTGTAGTAGTGTTTCTCGGGGTTTTTCGAATCCGAGACGGGGAAGGATTCACAGTCTTGCGAGCTCTCTTCTTTGCTCAGACGGCAAGGAATGACGCCGCCTTTCCAACCGTACACGTTGATAGCAAGGTCGTTCTGACGCTCTACTCGTTCAAGCTGGGAAAGCGGTGCGGGTGCGCTCACTCCCGCAAAGTCAAGGACATCTTCAGTGGGATACTTGCCACGCTGTTGCGGATCTTTAGCTGCAGGAAACATAGCAGCCCTTAAAGAACAGTGGAGGCAGTCGTCGTCATTGTTTTTCACGTTGACGCTCGTGTTCTTATTCTTGACCGGGAACTGGAGTTTTCCAATCCCTCCAGGATTGGTGGGAAGGCTTCATGTAGGGCATGCAGAATCTCATGCTCCTTTAGCAGCGTGATCTGCTTTGTCAGGAACAGTGGTGCTTGAAACACTTCAGTACCATTTCCTTTATCCTTCACAACCTCTAAAGCCAACTGGAACTTAACTCTTCGTGGAACTAATAGCTCCTGGACGAGTTTACGTTTGATGTAGGGTTGGGCGCTTTTGAGGAAAGCCATCAAATTGCGTTGGGAGGGGTCCCTTCGGCACTTGCATTTTCCAGGCTCGCAGATTATAGCTGAAGGCCTTCGTTTCATTCCACTTAAGTTCCGTGCGTGGTGGGGGAAGAACCCTTGTGGGGCGTTTAATTCCAGCCAGAAGTTCGTCAATGTATGCGTCCATCTCATCATCGGTAGGCTCGGCGGGCCTGCGCTTGCGTGGTTTGTTGATAGGCCTGCGCTTGCGTGGTTTTGGGATAGGCCTGCGCTTTTGCGGTTTGGAGATAGGCGGAGTGACATTTCTTGGCGTGGGTGTTGGGTCAGCGGGCGGTTGAAGAGCTTTAAGATACAGGCATTCAGCGCGTGCCTGTCTTGGTCATGTAGTTGCAAAATTTATTAACAGTATCTATCGCGACTGTCGCAAATTTTAGTGCTATATCCTATGCGAGATAATTCTCTAAATCGAAATTAAATCAAAATGTCGAAATTAATTCGGCAAGTACTCTAGCAAATATCTTCTTGCTTGTTTCTGTTTATAAACGAGCTTATGATGCACCCTATCCGCACCGCAGGCTTGACAAAGGATAGTTTCTGCCTGTGTTACGACCGCACGCTTACGACATGGTTGTGAAAGTCACCTGCCTTCCTTAATCGCCTCATATGAAGTCCACAGTATTCACCCATGGAGCTTCGCCCACATGTGGTGAGCTTTCCGGGTAAAAACCACGCGCACTTGTTCTTGCCCTGCCTCATGGCTGTCGAACGTTTGGATATACTCTATGAGAGTATATCTCTCTAAATAATAGACCCCGACGGCCGGAAGCGCGTGCGTGGGGGTGGGCCGGCCGTCTTTGGCTCCTGCCGTTATCCAGGGTTTAACTTTCGTTGTAGTTATGCTAGCATAATTACACTATGTGCTCGCTATATATGTCTTTCAGACATACATAGTAAATACGTACAAGAACTAGGGTTGGGGCACTTAGATTTGCATATACTAGATCCCAAGGGGTGTCCGAGGTGCGCCAGTGGCAACGCTTTCTCAAGGTGAAGTGCGCCGGCGGCAACGCTTTCTATATGAAGTGCGCCAGCGGCAACGGTTTGTATACTACTAACTCTCTATTTGCGCAATACAAACAACTATAAGAATAATACAAATATCGTTTGAATATAATGCTTAACTGACTCGAGTTACAAGAAATCAAAATTCACTACAATTGAAAGAAGTGCAAGTCTTAAGGCCTGAAAAATGAGACGCTAAACTATACCAGATGATGGAGAACGTTTAGTCAGAGATACGAAGATAAATCTCTCATTCAGAGTTTCAGATAGTTTATTTAATTAGAATTTGGGGAGTTGTTCTACTTTGCATATGTTATATTTTTTGTTGTAATAAACATCCACTCGAATTTTTAAAAAATTTACCGAAGGAAAAACGAAAAAGTCTTTAAGAAAGTCAGCACGACTTTCAAATATGCGCATTCAAATTATTAAAAAATTTCCCGAAGGAAAAACGAAAAAGTCTTTAAGAAAGTCAGCACGACTTTCAAATATGCGCATTCAAATTGTCAATAGTTCCCTACTTCCTAACTGTATGTAGCCTCCTTAAAATATTTGGCAGCCGGAAATAATGGAAACGAAATATAATTCCAATATTACCAAAATTAGTAAAATTCTTGTAATAAGCGATACTTATCTATAGCAAATATAAACCGATTACATAGTACTTTTAACTTGCTTTACTCTACAAACCCTATGAAATTGGCAATGCGCATAACTGTCTAAAAACCACTTTTTACTAACATAATTTAATAAAGCAAACACGCTAAATAAGCAAATGCAAACAAAAAAAGCATTTGGCAGAGTTCGTCATAAGAACAAACGGAAACAAAAAACACAATTGCAACATTATTAAAATCAGCAAATTTCCACATTCAGGAACGATTCATTAAACGAGCGATACAAGTTTACAGCAATAATAAGCCGAATTGCTAACAGTATTTCCATACTTTTCAAACGACTCAAATGTGTATCCTACTTAGACTATGTTCTCATGATTGCTAATGAACAATTCAACATCCTTAACATACCAACACATCATCACAAACATACCTTGTTTCGTTTTGCTTAGCAAATCGTTGTTGCTGTTTGTATTTTTAACTTCTTTCAACTGATGTTCAACAATACCAGTTAATCTAAAATAAATATTATCTTATAGTATTAGGCAAGATCAAAATTTATTCAAAGCTTATTAAATGACATAATATATGGCGAACAATTACATTGTGTTGATAATTATACATCGCAAACACGCATAAGGATTCTGTGAATTTTGTTTGACAAAGCTTTTTCTGGTTCACAATCCAATATTTCGTATTTTCCGATATAACGCAAGAGCAAGTTATAAGCGTCACACATATTCTTTACGTTGATATGTGGCCAGTGGCAAAAGTATTTTGTGCCGCGGAATTTAAGTCATTTAAAGAATAGATTGTAATGCAAAGCAAAGATACTGTTTTGATTTTTATTGTTTTTTTCAATTTATATGTTTGATTTTAATTTAGAGCTTGTTGATTGATAGGTAAAAAAATGTAAAATCTAATGCATTATCATAAAGTATATGCTTACTATAGGATTATCTTTACATTCTCTGCAGTGTGTATGTGAAAAAATGAAAATGAAAATCTTTATTTTGACACGCTGGCCTTGTCAACTGGGGTTGATTTCCACAAGGGGCGTGCTTTTGTTCAAAAACAATTACAAAATTTACTAAGAAATAAATTATCTACAGAAGAGAAGTTTAAATATTTACAGAGTTTAGCTTATTCCATCAGTTACATGTTATAAACTAAATCATAAAATGCAAGCAGCAATTTTCTTTTGAAAAAGTGACACGCTTTTGCTATTTCTGATTTCTGCTGGAATTGAATTCCAAACAGAAGCCCCATCATACGCAAAGCTTTTCTTCAAAGAGTTAGTACTAGGCATAGGAACATTTAGACAACTTGTAATATTGCGTAGATTGTAATCAGTGATGTCTTTTTTATAGGTAAATAATCTAGTAAGTGAATTTGGTCCAACATTTTTTAATAATTTAAACACCAGCTTTGCTTTAGCTTTTTTTCTAAGTATTTCAAGAGGTTCCCACTTCAATTCTTGTAATGCGTTACAATAATCGACATCAATGCCCATGTTTATGATAATTTTTGCAGCTCTATTTTGAAGTTTTTGTAGACTTTTTGACTGAGTTTCCCCCAATACACCCCAAACTTCACAGCAATATGTGAAGTAAGGATGTACCAGGGCATTATAAATAGAGATAAGTGTTTGTCTGTCTGTGTATTCCTTTAATTTTCTAACGGTAGAAATAGCGGCTGCTACTTTTTTGCAAATTTTATCAGTGTTACTCTTACAAGATAAGTGTTGGTCAATTATTAAACCCAAACATTCGTACTAATAAATTCTATTTATAACACAATTGCCAATTGCAATATGTAAATTAGAAGTCAAAAAATTCTTGTTCATTTGTTTAGAGCCTATGATCAATTTTCTGTCTTGGTTGAATTCAAACTAAGTTTGTTTGCTATCAACCACTTTTCAAGATTTTTCAAGACAGAGTTTACTGTCTTTTCTAGTTCAACTATATCATTATTTGAAGCAGTTATGCTATTACCATCAGCAAATATTTTTGGTTTACATTGCTATAAGCATGAGGGTAAGTCATATATATTAAGAAAAATAACGGACCTAGAATAGAGCCCTGGGGAACTCTACAGGTGAGGAGTTGTTGGGATGAAATAATATTATTGATTTGGCATCTTTGAGTTCGCGTTGACAGATAGGATTCAATTAGGTTGTAGGCTTGTCCGTTAATTCCATACAACTCAATTTTCTTAATAAAATGGTGTGGTTAACAGTATCAAAATCCTTTTTTAGATCAATTTGGACTACAAGGTTGAGTAACCTTTTATCCATGTTTGTGTACTAATCATTCGTACAGTCAATTAAGGCAGCTGTTGTTGAATGTGATTTTCTGAAACGAAATTGACACTCACTTAGGATTTCAGATTTAGAAAAGTAGTTGTAGAGTTGATCGTAAAGTATACGTTCAATGATTTTATTGACGACTGGAAGAAATGAAATTAGTCTATAGGTTCCAGTCAAGTTATGGTGTTCATTTTTGTAAAGAGGTATAATTCTTGCTGTTTTTCATTCATCTGGGAAGACAGACAAAGTTATGCACTGATTGAAAATATAGGTTAATGTTTCGGAAATGATAGGTGCAGCTAGTTTTAAAATTTTACATGATATTCCATCACAACCCGTTGACTTATTTGCCGAAAGTCCACAAATGAGATGGTACACATTATGGACAGTAGTTGGCCGAAAGGCAGCAAACTCTGATTTAGTTGTATTTATATAATTTTCAAAATTAGTTTTGTGTTGTCTATTTCTTCAGCAAGTTTTGGGCCAATATTAGAAAAATATGTATTATGTACATACTCATATGCATTTATGTAGTCGATTGCAAAACAAGAGGGATTTGATTCAACAATTGCATATCAGCATGAGACAAACATTATTTTAAATATGCTCTCTTCATTCCTTGTTAAGGATTTTGAGTTTGAGCATATTTATTTTTCATTTTCTGTGCCACATATTTTGAATGCACTTAAAACGTAATGGAAAATATGATTACGTTTTCGTGGCTTTATATCCTCATAAATCTCTCTTTATTATGTTACAAAGATGTAATATTGCTTGGCAAGTTATAAGGGTCATGTATATCGTTTGAGTCGATACGTGGCAAATTATTTTGTTCCTCGGAATTTAAATCATGTATTCACTAATTGTTATAAAAACAGAGAAACGGTTATAATTTTGGTTTTGGTTTAGGTATTTATTGTATTATTACATACTGCATGCAGCAAGCTTACTATATAGGAGTCTTAGCTTTTTATGGGAATAATTAAACGTATGATATTTTCTCTCGGGTATGTGTATACTCATACAGGCGTAGGAAAAAAAATAATTGGGGGGAGGGGGGGAGAGGAAGCTCATATTCATTTATGTATGTTATAATCTGTAGAAAACAATGAATTTAAAATACGGCATAATATGCTTGTATAACTATTCTCCACAATTATCGATCTTTCTACGCCCATGCATCATGGGGTGATGTTTTTGCATTGACTCAACATTTCTTAAATAATAAACATTACGAAGCGTTTTAAATCCACTTCACCTTACGGCTGACCTATGTGTTACGTTTTATAGGCAACTCAAAACAAAATCCAACTGTATCACACAAGAGAAATAAAGTTTTGAAAAAGACATCACCCAGCGTCAAGTAGCATGCAACAGAATTTCACGAAGCTTATGTTGTAAATTGTCATGTCAAATTATGTAGAGAGTGACTGTGTCATATTATAAATTATTAGATATAACTGAAATTATTAAATTCATATAAAATACTATAGTCATGTTAAGAGAACACTTCCTCACAGCAATACGTCATTGCTGTAGGATGTAGGTAGAAACGGAATGGCAAAGTTGCGCGAAATATGTAAACGCCCAGAAACACTTCCTAACAATGATACTTAAATATAGCTTGCAAGCGTTGGTTCAGGGTTCCTTGAGTTACAAGAAGTCAACTAAACAAAACTTGCTGAGTGCACTAGCAAAGATATTTGATCCGCTAGGATTAATTAGCTGGGTAATAGTTTTGATGAAAATCTTGTTTCAACCGTTGTGCGTAGAAAAGAGATTGGAATGACGAGATAAGCGGCAAGCACGCCAGTCTAGAGAATGGATTGAAGATCTAATCCGTGTTAAGACTATTAAGCAAAAGAGATGCATCTATGGCGGTGTGAACGGCAAAATTCAATCTTGTGAACTTCATGGGTTTGGTGATGTAAGCGAAAGCGTATTGCACGCTAGTATATTTTGTTTGTTGCACGAGTGTTGCAGTCTTTGTGAAATTGTTAACAGCAAAAACTAGAGTTGCGCAGCTGAAGAAGCTTACTATACCGCGCTTAGAACTAATGTCCACGCTGATGTTAGCAAAGTTAATGGAATCTGTGCGGAAAGATTTAGTAGGCCAAGTAGGAAAATAGAAGCAAGGTACTGGTTAGATAGTATTACAGCATTATATTGGATTCAGAATCCCGGTGAGTGGAAACAGTTTGTTAGACATAGAGTAAATGAAACCTTAGCTATAACACAGAAGGATAAGTATTGACATTGTCCTGGAATGGAAAATCCGCTGATTGACGGTTGTCCGTAATCTTAACGAGATAGATTTAATTATTCCGTATTAGGAAGAACCAACGCTTGGAACTCTCGTGCACAACCACTGCAAATATCATATCAAAGTGTTAAATATAATTGTCAAAATACAGTCCCATCGTTCATGTGAAGTTTGAAAACAGTGAACCATTACTTCGTACAGACTGTGCGAAATGTGTTTCTTTTTGGAGAAAGATTGAGCAAACATGAAATAAGCAATAAAATATACAAGTCACATTTGGAATTATTATAAAAAGAGATGATTCCGTACAAATACATCAATGATAAATGAGAATTCGCCCTGACGAAATCAGTAGACGCATTCAGGCTTAGTCAAATCGAAAACAACTTCCTGTCACAATTTTAGCCAAATTAGCTACCTTTTGCTGTTTTTCTTTGTACACAACATTTTGTCTTTTTTTATTTGGTGTTAGATGATCTTGAGTATATTAATATGGCAATAAGCTTTTAACTTAAATCATTAAATGTCGATTCTATTTTCTTATGCCATGTTTATAATGACAGGTGTATTATCGAGAGAATAAGGAAAACTTTCACCAACCTTTGATCCTTGGGGGTATATCTTTTCCTATTTTCAGTTAGAGATATGTAATGTGTGAAATCCTTTACCAAAAATTAGCTTCTTGTATTCTTTACTTTGTAACAGAAAGGATATATGTTTTGATGCAGAGCCAAGTAGTCCAAGCCTAAAATGGACTTGACCTTTCTTTTGTCTATACCAAACTTTAAGAGTGTGACCACCCATCGTTTGTGACGTTAATTGAAATGTGATATTGGCTTTGCTGTTGTCACCATCAAAGATGCTATAACCAAAAGGAACTTTGGTGAAGTGTCATGAGCTATTTTCAGCTTATTTTCGTGCGGAAGTTTATGTTTTGATAAGTCCTTTTTCATTATGCAACTAATTTATATTACCATTAGGCAACACACAAGAATTATTTTTATTTGGGGCGAAAACTACCCAACACCTATAATAAAGGCTATTATCCTTTCGAAGATTTAACACAAAATAAATAAATATAACACAAAAAAATTGCATTGAAAATGTCATGAAATGTACAGAAATGTTATAACTATCAACAATTCTATTAACATTATTTCAAAGTGCACAACTCCATACAGAAATCATGTAAATATATACTAATACAATACTTCTCGCATGCCCTTCAAAATAGGCATCATAAAAATGGGTGTTTTTAAGGAAAATCAAATATTCAACAAACATGTTAGCCGTTGTTGAATTAGTACAAAAAAGTTCTTTGCGTGCAAATACATCAATGATAAACAAGAATTTGCCCTGAGCAGAAAATCGAAGGAAGTATTTCGGCTTTGTCTAATCAAAGAGAACTTCCTCCAAAAATTATGTCTTTAATTACTTTTAGCTAGTTATTTTACCTTACATTTTGTCTGCGGTACCTTTTGGTCTTATATGATCTTTGCTATGTTTGTAATCTATTAACATGAATAATTGAAAATGATTGTATTTTACCTATTCTATGTTTATAATAACACGTGTATTATCAAGAGAATAAGGAACACTTTCACCAAGCGTTATTCTTTTCTAATTTTCTGTTAGAGACTCTAATGCATGATATCCTCTACCAAATATTGGCTTTTTCTTTTGTTTCTAAAAAAGCATAAATGCTTTAATGGAGCATTCGTGACTCAAAGCCAAGAAAGGTCTCGAAGTTATAGTTAAGTTTGACAATTGTGGCCACCTCGTTGTTCATGACCTTAATATTAAATATGAGATTAGCTAAAGAAAATTCCGACTGCTGAATTTGCGAATGATTACAACTATAATCTAGCTATCTTTGATAAATTCGCTGTATGAGACTGTTAAATAAAAACAAAATGTGATCAAAACGTTCAATATTGGGAAAAAACCAGCATAAACTAGTTTTTACTTATATAGCGGCGGAAGTTTATGATTTGATAATAGCTAAGTCATTTCAACTTAACTTAACCGGATTGCAGCAAACAAAAATTATTTTGTGTATATCTTTAAAACAAGGAATGAGGAATCCTAGAAGGGAACGAGGAAGGGAACAGGGATGCGAAAACAAGGAATGAAAAAAGCCGAAATCGTTAAAACAAGGAATGAGAAAAGCCGGAATCTTTAAAACAAGGAATGTGTAATTATGCAAAAACCGTGTATAATCAAAACAAATTTGTACGACATCGTACTAATTCCCAATTTTTCACAAGTTTCATGCAAACGGCTAGTTAAGATGCGTTATTTTTAGAAAAGCATACAAAGAAGGGTTTACAAGACAATTACCAAGGAGTTTCATCGAATTGATTGCGTAAAATTTTCTTTTAAAGCGAGATATGAGTCTGGGCATGTTGCCAACTGGTTTTGGACTTCGAACCAATTGTGTCCTTGTATAAAGTTAACAAAGCAATCGGTATGTACACAGTAAACTAACGTTTCTTTCGATTTATGACTGCCAAATTTGCCTAAACAAATGAATTCATTTCGCTCGCTATTTGGTCATTCGTCATCACTGCATTTTGAAACGTTTCGAGAGGGAAAGCAACCGTTTAAATGGCAATTTTTTTTATTTTTTTTCCTCCTAAAAGTTGAGATTTGTAATGCTCTATTTTCAGTTGATTTCTGCTTGCATTTTTGCATCATCTTAATTTAAATTCCACGGTGTGTCGTAAGTTGTAAACATCCTCACATTGTTAACTATGTATAAATAACTCATGTAAATTTCAGCATATAATGCAACAGAGTTTTTAAAGTTTTGCATTTTTAAATTTCATAAATAAGATAAGTTTTAATATTTCAACATTATCTTTGGGGAATAAAGAGCCTTGCATTTCTCTTGACTTTGACACCATGCAACATTTGTTATTATTAAAATACAGTGATGACGCAATGTTGACAAATGAGAAAATAGTGACCGAAATCAGCTCAAATGTTTGGGCAAACGGGACAGTCATAAATCGAAAGAAACTTACTGAGTACATACCAATCGCTTTGTTAACTTCATACGAGGACACAATTGGTTTGAAGTTTTAAAATCAGTTGGCAACATGCCCAGACTCATATCTCATGAAGAACTCATGAAGAACTCACAGAATTTCTACATACGCTTCAAAATCTGTTCAGGCAAACAAAACAATCGTTATTATGAAACGACCATCTTGGCTTAGAGCACTGTAAAAGTAAAATTGAGCGTTGTATACCAATAGCTTATGCGATTTTACTTTCACTAAATGATCCTCATCCTCAAAATGATCCCCTGCCTTACAGCAACGCAAAATGCACAAATACAAACGCCAACGCTTCGATCGCTGGTGGAAAGATTAATTTGTGACATGGATGTCGAATTTGAGAAGGTTACAGCTGCTTTGGAAACATCTTATGTTGAAGACGTTAGAGATGTTATTTCATTTCTTTTTGGAGAAAGATTGAGCAAACATAAATAAGCAATAAAATATACAAGTCGCCTTTAACTATTATAAAAATAGATGATTACGCACAAATACATCAATGATAAATGTGACTTCGCCCTGACGAAATCAGTACAAGCATTCAGGCTTAGTCAAGTCGAAGACAACTTCCTGTCACAATTTTAACCAAGTTAGCTAGCTTTTACTGTGTTTTTTTTTGTACACAACATTTTGCCTTTTTTTATTTGTTGTTAGATGATCTTGAGTATATTAATATGGCAGTAAGCTTTCAACTTAAATAATTGAATGCCGATTCTATTTTCTTATGCCATGTTTATAATGACACGTGTATTATCGAGAGAATAAGGAAAACTTTCACCAACCTTTGGTCCTTGGGGGTATATCTTTTCCTATTTTCAGTTAGAGATATGTAATGTGTGAAATCCTTTACCAAAAATTAGCTTCTTGTATTCTTTACTTTGTAACAGAAAGGATATATGTTTTGATGCAGAGCCAAGTAGTCCAAGCCTAAAATGGACTTGACCTTTCTTTTGTCTAAACCAAACTTTAAGAGTGTGACCACCCATCGTTCGTGCCGTTAATTGAAATGTGATATTGGCTTTGTGGTTGTGACCATCAAAGATGCTATAGCCGAAAGGAACTCTGGTGATGTGTCATGAGCTATTTTCAGCTTATTTTCGTGCGGAAGCTTATGTTTTGGTATTACCATTAGGCAACACACAAGAATTATTTTTATTTGGGGCGAAAACTACCCAACACCTATAATAAAGGCTATTATCCTTTCGAAGATTTAACACAAAATAAATAAATATAACACAAAAAAATTGCATTGAAAATGTCATGAAATGTACAGAAATGTTATAACTATCAACGATTCTATTAACATTATTTCAAAGTGCACAACTCCATACAGAAATCATGTAAATATACTAATACAATACTTCTCGCATGCCCTTCAAAAATAGGCATCATAAAAAATGGGTGTTTTTAAGAAAAAGCAAACATACAACAAACATGTTAGCCGTTGTTGAATTAGTACAAAAAAGTTCTTTGCGTGCAAATACATCAATGATAAACTAGAATTTGCCCTGAGCAGGAAATCAGTGGAAGTATTTCAGCTTTGTCTAATCAAAGACAACTTCCTCTAATAATTATGGCTTTAATTACCTTTAGCTAGTTTTTGGTACATTACATTTTGTCTGCGTTGTCTTTTGGTCTTACATGATCTTTGCTATGCTTGTAATCTATTAACATGAATAATTGAAAATGATTGTATTTTACCTATTCTATGTTCATAATAACACGTGTATTATCTAGAGAATAAGGAACACTTTCACCAAGCGTTATTCTTTTCTTATTTTCAGTTAGAGACTCTAATGCATGATATCTTCTACCAAATATTGGCTTTTTTCTTTTCTTTTTTTAAAAAAATCATAAATGCTTTAATGATGCATTCGTGAGTCAAAGCCAAGAAAGATCTCGAAGCTATAGTTAAGTTTGACAATTGTAAGCACCTCGTTGTTCATGACCTTAATTTAAATATGATATTTGCTAAAGAAAAATCCAACTGCTGAATTTGCGAATGATTATAACTATAATCTAGCTATTTTTGATAAATTGGCTGTATGAGACTGTTAAATAAAAAAAAATGTGATCAAAACGTTCAATATTGGGAGAAAACCACAATTTATCATAAGCTATTTAACTTATGTTGCTGCGGAAGTTTTATTATTTGATAATAGCTAAGTCCTTTCAACTTTACTTAACCGGTTTGCAACAAACAAAAATTATTTTATAACAATAGAGAAAACTACCATTATACAATCTTAATAGCTACATGTCATATCAAATGATGATCTTTTCAAAAATTTTATTCCCATTTGATCAATGTAAGTAAAATATCCAAACACTAAAAGGTGCTATTAAAAAAGCAAATATACTATAATTATCTATATGCTTTTAGTTGAATGACTGTTTATATTGTACAATCATAAAAAAATATTACATTGAAAGCGGAGCGAAATGTGCTGAAATGTAGAAACCATCAACGATTTTATCAACTTTATGTTAAAAAGCACAACTCTACACAAATAAAATCTGCAAAGTTATACTAATTTGAAACTTGTCATCGCATAGCATTTACAAAAATAGTCATCGAAAAAATGTTTTTGTGTTTTGTAAGAGCAAACGTACAACAATATCTTAGCCGCAGTTGAGTTATTATAAACGGAAGTTGTTTAAGTACACATACATTTATGACAAATGAGAAAATGCTCAGACGAAATCAATGGAAGTATTTACAGGCTTGCGTAATCAAAGACGACTTCCTGTCAAAATCATGGCTAAAATTACCTTTTGCTAGTTTCTTTGTACATTACAATTTGCCTGAGTTATCTTTTGGCTTGACATAATATTTAGCATGATTGTAAGTTAACAACTTAAATAATTGAATGTCGATTAAACTTAATATATTTTACATGTTTACAATGACATATGTATTATCTAGAGAACGAGGAAAATTTCACCAATCTCTGCCTATTTCTTGATTTATTTTCAGTTATGGACTTCTGCTGCCTGAAATCCTTTATCAACTTTAAAAACCTTTAAAGACTATACTTTGTCTATGGCAGAATTAACGAATGAAACCGGCAACTTTACGCAAAGAGCAAATTTTTAAGAAGCAGCAGCATCCTATAATCTCCAATTTGTTTCAAAACAATGCAGGTCGACCTTGTACCATCTCAGTTTTCTGCCATTATAAAGCCAAGAAGACAAATTTTTCAGGATTAAATGTCTTTGCCGGTTGTTCTGTCTCTTTCACAAAAATCTTGCTAGAATCAAAAGTTTGTAGAATGAAAAAAAAAACCCGCAAAAACTGTTATTTTGTAATACAAAAGTATAGTAAGCTGGACCGATACCCCTACGAAGGTCTTAATCAGATGAGTCAACTTCCGGCTTCAATTATCTTACTATATATTATACATGTATGCGTTATCCAGTGTAATACACATATCAGTGATGACAACACCTGATGAACTATTATTACAGAAATTTGCATGTTTGTGTTCTTTAAGAAGATTGTAAATATCTTTTCTGCTTTTAAGAGCGACACATGAGCAGTAAAAGATGAGAAACGTAAGTTTCTAAATCAACATCTTCAACTTACCACAAGCCTTTTCACTCTAACTACACATGTAACTTTACCATAAATAAATTTAACGACATCATTTTTCTTAATGGTGGTGTAGTTAAGACATACATAACACATAAATATCAAATTGACAAAAAAAGGAAGTTATCACGTATAACTTCCAAGTTTACATGAATTGACGAACTTGTGAAGTAGGACATGAAAGACAATGGATTTAAATAGCTTAAGTTTGCTAATCATAAAAATTTGAATTCTAGCATACACAATTATCAATGTTCCGTACGCCCATACAGTTATATGTTCAGATGAAGTCTGTTGCAAAGCAAGAATGATTTGATTCCACACTAGCCAATTAACTTTTTGACAAGCATTGTTTAATACAAACCTCAATGAAAAGAAATAATCAAATATCCTTTTATTCAGTTATTATGTGTTAATAACGTGATGACACGAAATTAAGTCATCATTCACATCGATTTGCATAGCTGTTAGAAAAATTGCTGTGTTCATCTGTGATTTAAAATGTTACCTGTTTCTATGAAGTTCATTTGTATCTCCAGTCATAATGATAGCAGGGTTTAAAAACTCAGACTGTGAAATTTGTAAGAGAGATTTCAATTTAATATAATTGGCATATGTATTGTGGTATAAACATGCTTAAATGATATTTTTAAATTTCGTGGTAAGCGTTTTGAACTTAACTCGATGTTCATCAATATAAAGCTTTGTTAAATTTCACATCTTTTTGAGTTATACACATATAAAACAAACTTCTCCATGTGCTTTGTTTTTGCAATCGTCCCTAAATAGCTTATATTTATTTGTATTAACAAGATCATCATGCAGGAACTGATCTTTTAGTCATGCCTCACTAACAAATAGCCATGTCAATGTCCTGTTGTTAGATGAAACATGTATTATTTAGATGTTTCCTACAGTGGCCCGTATGTGCCACAGCTTGTGCGTAGAAATATAGCTGTTGCATACAAATCGAGTTTCTACGTACAAACCCGAGTGTTCTCCGTACAAATATAATGTTGCTCCATGGAAAACGAACTGCTCCACACAAATGTTAACCGTCTGCTTGTTGAAATGCTACTTCTCCACACTTAAAGAAAGGTTGCTACGAGCAAATAATCCCTTCTCCACGCTGAAATTATCTTTCTCTATACAAATAAACATACCGAATACTCTCTTACCCCCTGGCAAAAATAACACACGTGCACACACCCAACGTCGGGGGTAACCGACTCAAAACAAACTCCTACTACACCATAACGAGCAACAAGGAATGAAACCATGAAATTGTGTATATACAATGCGGAGAACATGTTGAAGATAAGTCGAACTTTTGTCCGAGCTGTGGAAAGAAACTGTTTAATAGTAAGTTTTAAATAACGTGTGTAGCAGAAATCCGAGTACATTTTGCTTAATCGTGAAGTTTATTTGCAATATATCAATCTTTGACTTTGTGTTGCACGTGTTCGTTATCCCCCCAAATATAATTATAAAGCTTGAATTATTATATTTCAGGTTTGTCAGAGATGCAGCAATATAGTTGCAATGCATCCACGCTTGAAGCACACGCAAAAGCTCGGGAAATTACTTTTGAAGATTTTAAACAAGCAAAAGCAACTAACAGGGTAAAAACCTTACCATCAAGGGGAAAAAAGCAACTTTGCATGGAAGAGTGAAGATACAGATCGGGATAAAACAGTACGACAAAGATGTTTCCTTAAAATCCCTAAAAGGAAGAACCCTTCCCCTAACAGTTGATGCTGACATTGATGCACGACAGTTGTTGCAAGAAGCGATAACCAAACATTCGAAACATTTTCGAACATTTAGTTGTGAGAAGAAGTATCACTTGTTATACCCCGATAACACAGAAGTTAAGCGTCTACGGTCATCTCACAACTTGTTCACACTACAAAAATATAAAGAGGAGTTGGGTAAGCCATTTTCAAGAATACATCTTTATTTGTGCGCTGATGAATGTGTGGGAAGGGCTGAAATGCACGAGCTTGGACTAAGCAGTGATGATGATCAAATGGAAGCCATATTTTCAACTCCATCTTTTGGCAGTCCTTCCAATATATATTGTCATAGTACCCAATCTATTAGTCCTATTGCCCCATCAACCAGTACTGATGCCAAGTGTAATATTTCTATTGCTCCATCAACTAGTACTGATGCAAAGTGTGTTATTCCTTCCTATCCACCACTATCGTCTGTGGTTTCAAGCCGAGCTGAACCACCATCTGATATCTAGGCCCTAGACAATGTAATATTAGTTGAAAGTCATGAGGCTCATGATTTAAACAAAGATAGGCATTGTCCATCATTAACTAGAAAGAAAACAACTCAGCCCAGTATTTTGCCATTCCTTGCACATGATGGTGATAATAATAGCAAAAAATTCCGATAGTGGTGGATAGGAAGGAATAACACACTTTGCATCAGAAGATATTCAGTGTAAGGATAGTAAAG